AGTCATCGAGGTAAGATCTCACCTGCCCCGAGCAGGCAGATCCCAGACTGTTCCTACTCCGCCCTCTCAGCCCCTTGGGGATCCCTGTGCCACGCCCACCAGAGCGGGCTCCGGGGACCCCCACCCGATAACACGCTTCCCCCGAACTCAGAGTGACCCTCGTCACCTGTCATGTTGCGATGCGAACGCTTCTGAGAGTTTACATGTTTGCTCCCAATCAGGTTCAAACTTCTGTCAGCTTACACCTGTGCACGCTGACGAGCCTGCTCATCACGACCGAACGCTTTCTCCTGTCGCCTCTAGGTTTTGATGCACCAGTTGCTGCAGACACTGGAGTCCCAGGCAGGGTCGCCCCACAGCCCAGCACAGAAGGAAACGTGCTGGAATGTCTGCACACCTCCTCTGCGTAGTTTTAACTTGGGGGGGTGGAATCTCCTGTTACAAATGTACTCAGTTCTACCAAACTCGGGGAAATGTCTATATGGTTGTTTGCTTTTTTTGAAAATGTATAACCTGGCACAGACCGGGCTTCTGGAAACCTCAGCAGTTCCCCCGCAGAGCTGGGTCAGTTGAGGTGGGAGAGGGTGGCTGTCCTCCCTGGAGCCTGCACTGGGGTGACGGGCAGGATTTTACACGGAGGCAGGACCAGCAAAGGGGACACACGGAAGGAGGCACAAGATCTCACCAGAGAATTTGAAAATAATAAACTTGTCCACATCCATTTTATTTACCAGCCTTGAGCAGGTACTGATGCTGCTCAGTTTTTATCCTTTAAAAAAGTGAGGGGAGGATATTTTTGATTGAACTATATGGTCACTAGCATTTGCCTCAAAATAAACTGGAGTGGGGGCGGGGTTGGGCAGAGGGGGGAGATGCGTAAACGAAACAAGGCTGGCCCTTACTTGATAACTTTTGAAGCTGTGCGTCTGGGACAGGTACGCGGAGGTCTGGTCAACTCTCTTCTTCTACACACGCTTGCAGTTCTTACCACAAAGTTCATTTTTCAAGGAAGGGATTTAACCCCTCACACAAATGACTGTGGTTGTAGATCATTGCTAGAGATTATGACTCTCAAGATGCTCCTGAAGTTAAAACCACTCCCAGAGCAGTACGGAGTGAGTCACCTTTGAAACCATGTGCTCAGATGTAGCCGGAATCCCGGGCAAATACACAACTGATCCCGTACGGCGACCCCCACCTGTGCTGTGCTCACAGCCTGGGGACACCACGCGAGCCCCGTGAGGTCTCCCCGCAGACTCCGGCCCCACCCAGCCCCCTTGGGGGCCACGCCCCCGTCCCCCTCACATGCCACCTCATTTCCCTCCGCTTCCCAGCTCTCATCTACTCTCAGGGGCTCAGATCCTCTCTGCTCTGATGGAATGGAAAGCCTATCCCGTTGTGCTGAGTATCTCCTCATCCCCCTGAATATGTCTGCATCCTTCCACCGTGGAATCAGATTCTTCCAAAGCTACATTCTTCCAGATGCACCGAAAGTCCGTGGAACATAGGAAGACATACTCCACCATAGTCCAGCTGGACGTGTTCTCTAAATTTTGTTTTACTTGGAAGCAATTTAAATACTCAGTTTTCTGCTGTCGTTTCTTCTCTCCGTCGTTTCACAGAAGCCAGTTTGCTTCTCCTGGGAGACCTGGGAGCTGTCCAGGTGGAGAGGCCCCACAGGTGCGATGGTGGACGTGGACGTTCTCACTCCTCACCCGGCACGTGGGAACTGCTGCGACTCCTGATTGGGCGCCCGGTGGGGGGGGCGGGCTGGCCACGGGGCGAGGTGCGAGACTGAGCTTCAGAGGAGCCAGGAGACCCGCGTCAGACGCCAGGTGGGAAGTGAACAAAAGAGGCTCAGAATGTGGTCTTCGCCTCCCGACCTCCCGCCTGTCCCGCTGCAGCTCACCGTGGTCCACACTCAAGCGCAGAGCAGACGTCCGGTGACCACAGATGGACTTCTAAAGTGGGGCCAAAGGGCTTAAAACTCCAGAAACTGTGCATATTTAGATGTCTAGTCCACAAGTGAGTTTATTGTTTATTAGAATAATTTTTGATCATTGTCACTAGCACATAAAGCCGTAATTTTAAAATCATAAATATTAATTCTATAGAATTTCGTTCACTTTACAAAACCTGGCTGACCAAGTACCAGCACAAAGAGCTAACAAAACAGTAAGTCTGGAGAATAAAACCGTAAATAAAAAGACAAGTAAGCAGGAGGCGTTGCTCTTTAAGTCACAACACAACAAAAAAATAGCACAGCCTGCCCTCCACACGCACGGATTCTCATCCTCAGATTCCACCAGCTAGGAGTGAAAAGTATCCAGAAAAATTCCAGAGTTCCAGAAAATGAAACTTGAATTTGCAGTATGTTGGCAACTCTTTAAACAACATTTACATTGTATTTACAACTATTTACATAGCATTTACATTGTATTATGTATTCTAAGTAACCTAGAAATGATTTAAAGTATGTGGCAGGATGCATGGGGGTTGTGTGCAAATATGACACCATTTTATATAATGGAGTATCCACCAATTTTGGTGCCCGCGGGGGCCCTGGAAACAACCCCCTGTGGATACCGGAGGGATGACCATAAACATTTCCACTTAGATTTGCCATTTAAGTGAGACAATGCAAATTTAGAAAGTCTGAGATAGCACGCAGGGCTTAGCCAAGAAGAGAACTTAAAAGTAAAATAAGACGTTCTGCAACCAGCCACGCAGGTCGTGCTTCAGTCAGACACAAAATCAGAAAACGCGCCAGCCTCACGGCCATCTCCTCGCTAGTCCTGGGACGACCCGCCTGTGCCCGGACCCAGCGGGCTGGGATCAGGAGTGCTGCTCTGTCCTTGTGGCCACTCGTCTCCTCCGTCTCTTCCTAACTGCTCCTGCTCTAAGCCAGTCACTGTTCTGCAGTGAAGAGCAGAAACAGGAAGGGAGTGAGAGAGAAAGCCAGAGAGAAAAGGCAGAGAGCCTTAGAGCAAGAGAGAAAGATCTATTCCACAAAACACTAGCCCATAAACACGTGGAGAAATCTGAAGTATAAACAAGACTCCACAGCTTAAAAGCCTGGGTTTTGAAGAATCTTCTGAACATAAGAAACAGACTCAACATTCCAGGACAAAAAGACACTGCGAGCTGCACATTCGACGTCTACATTCCTGACACACATGACCCTCGATTCCCAAGCAAAAGGAGGCGCAGGGACGGCTGGGAGGCTGTGTCACAAACACAGTCATCGCCCCATGGGAGGCCGGGCCCCAGTTCCAAGCTTCAAACTGGTGCAGGGGGTGAGTCTCTTGTCAGCAGCCCCGCCAGCATCCCCCACCCTGAGTCCTCTCTCACACCTGCCGCCCAGGGCTGGCCTGGACCCCGGGAAGGTGGAGCCTTCTCTCTGCTGGTTACACCTGCGACTTGGGCCTCGAAGGGGAAACTGCCTGGGTGGCTCCTCCCACCACCCGCTCGCCGCCACCACGAGACTCCAGGGCCAGGAATGCGCTTCTGCTCAGTTTCTGCCCTAGATTTCCTCCTGGTGGCCCCCCTCGAGGAGACAGAAGTCCTGCCTTGCCCCTCAGGAGCAGGGCCTGGAGCCCTGACACCGCCGACGGCCCTCCCGGGGTGAACCCGCTGCCCCTCCAGTGTCTCTGGCTAGGAGGCCCCAGGACTCAGTATCTTCTTCGTGTCTCTGCTGAAGCCAGCCCTGAGGTCACCGAGCTGCACTTCTGGGGCAAGGGATGCATGCCTCGCCCCAAGCCCTGCTTCACCGACAGTTGGGCTCCTGGGGGACCTCTGTCAGCAGGGAAGCAGTCTCAACACAGAGCAAACAGAAGCAAATGCGAACAGCGTCTCTGTGTCCACACGATACTGCGGATCTCAGACGTCTAGGTTCTCCAAAGGCTTTAACCTTATAAATCAGACGCACTCCTGTTCTCTTAATTAGGAGAAAACACTGAAAAGGCAAGAAAGAAAACAACGTTCTCCAAATCCAGCAGCAAGTAAACAGGAAACAAAACGTCCCCTCCCAGAGTCCAGGACAGTCGACAGGCCACGCTCCCTCGGTTCCAGAGATCTGAAAAGCCTCACGCTGTCTCAGTGAGAGCGATCAGTTTTAAATCTACCTAATTACTTAGGTGGTCACACACTGCAGAGTTTCATTTGTAATAAATCAGGGATTCACCGAAGGGCGATCCAGGACTGAGACATCTCCCCCCACAGATCAGCAAACGTCCCTGCTCCCAGCCGGGCATCACTGTAGGGAAGTCACTGCACACACAGAAAGGCCACCGGAGCACACTCGGCTGGGGACCACGGAAGGAGAATGCACTCAGGAGCTCTGGACCCTCAGGGCCAGCGACCCACGGCTTGGATGGCGGGCGGGAGCCAGTCCTCCAACCGTGAGACTGGGAGCGGGCAGGCGTGTGAATGCAGTGAGGTCTGGGGAGCATGGGGTGCTCCCTGGCCTCTCAGGGTCTGTCCGCAGACTGGCCTCAGGCATCCAGCGCAAATGTCCTCTCTCCTTTGTGACAGCTCCTCCCGCATGGCGACCCAGAGCACACCAAGGTTCACAGCAGAGGGTTACGGAGCCCAGCTGCCATCTTGGACCATCAGCCCCTCACACGTCCGGCAAGAACCTAACGGAACAGAGGGAGGCTCCTGGGAGGCCTTGTCCTCGGGCCGTGTGGAGCCAGGTAACCCTCCCAGGCTGCTGCCTGCCCCAGAGAACCCGGGACCCCACCAGGGCCCCCAGGAGGCTTCGCCCCCAGCCCTCCTCAGCGTTACCTCCCGGCATGAACAGGCATCAAACACTTCTCCCCCAAGCGCTGGATTTGTCTCCTAAGAGGGATTCTGGGGGAGGGGAGACGTCGGTGCGGGGCAGCGGCCCCCCGCCCCGAGGGGCCCTCCTGCTCAGCCCTGCGGGGGGCGGCGGCGCCGCAG